GGTACTTATACCTTTTTCTTAATTCGGGGTTACTTTTGATCATATTTTGTGATAGTTTAGTATTTGATTAAAGTAGGTAGCTTTAATTCAGGTTTAATCTGTTAAAGTTTTGATCTTTAGTTTGTGATAGTTTAGTATTTCATTAAAGATGTTAGCTTTAATTATTGATTTCTGATATGGATTTTTCTCATTGCTTCATTTGGTTGTCTTATGGTTGAGTAGTTCTTTTTACTGCAGGATTTTTTAGTTCTTGCAGTTCTGAATTCTTGGATCCCTTTGTTAGAATAATGAAAACCTTTTTTCTTAGTTTCTCTTTTCTGGTTACCTTTCTTTGATTCTTGTTGTGCTTTTGGCCAAAAAGTTTGGAACTTTTCTTTTTATGCTTCATCCAGATCTGATCTAGGATATTTTTGTTTCTTTAGTTTAAAATAATTCCTTTTCTTGGCACCTTTTGATAACTTTTTTGGGATTGCTCTGTCAGCTGATTGTTCTTCCGTCATGCATCCGGATCTGTTTCACATTTGCTTCCATGAATTGGTTTTGTAATTTGTTCCTATACCCTTTTAGTTTTTGGCATCTGAATTGCCATTTCCTTGATTCTGTTACTGGTTTGATAAGCAACAAAATTTTGAATGATAGAAAATATAATTGATTCTACGCCTAACCATTGACCTTTTGTCACTCGTGGAGTGTCGTTCTCATTCCTGCCTTTCTTGAGCAAATTTTACCTAATTGAAGTCAACGCGTGGTTTAAACTCGTGAGTGACGGGAATAGAGTTGGAATCATGATTTTTGGTTCTTTTATTAGCTTATAGAAGAAATAACCCATGTGAAAAGTGATAATGAGAGTCGATTTTAGCAGAAATGTCCTCTCAAAATGTGTTCTAATTATCTGTTCCGTTGTTGCTATAGGCTATTCCTACTTGTACCTTTTATGCTTTCAGTTTCATCCTAAGGATTTATTTCCCATCCTGATGACAGGTGACAGCATGGCTTCTCCGACAAGAATTGGTCTTGCTGGCCTTGCTGTTATGGGCCAAAATCTTGCTCTCAATATTGCTGAGAAAGGATTCCCTATATCTGTTTACAATCGAACCACTTCAAAAGTTGACGAGACTGTTGAACGAGCTAAAAAAGAAGGAGATCTTCCTCTTTATGGCTTTCATGACCCAGAATCCTTTGTGAATTCTATCCAAAAGCCTCGCGTCATAATCATTCTTGTCAAAGCTGGAGCACCAGTTGATCAGACCATCAAAACCCTTTCGGCTTACATGGAGAAAGGAGACTGTATCATTGACGGTGGTAATGAATGGTATGAGAACACCGAGAGGAGAGAAAAAGAAATGGCTGAGTTAGGTCTTCTTTATCTTGGGATGGGAGTTTCAGGTGGTGAAGAAGGGGCTCGAAATGGACCGTCGCTGATGCCTGGAGGCTCTTTTGAAGCCTACAAGTACATAGAAGATATCTTACTAAAGGTCGCAGCTCAAGTTCCTGATAGTGGACCTTGTGTTACATACATTGGTAAAGGTGGTTCTGGCAATTTTGTTAAGATGGTTCACAATGGAATTGAATATGGTGATATGCAATTGATTGCGGAGGCTTATGATGTTCTGAAATCTGTTGGGAAGCTCTCTAATGATGAGTTGCAACAAGTTTTCTCAGAATGGAACAAAGGGGAGCTTCTGAGCTTCTTGATTGAAATCACAGCTGATATATTTGGAATCAAGGATGACAAAGCTGATGGATATTTGGTAGACAAGGTTTTGGACAAGACTGGAATGAAAGGTACTGGTAAATGGACCGTTCAGCAAGCTGCTGAACTTTCAGTAGCTGCTCCTACAATAGCGTCATCACTGGATTCAAGATTCCTTAGTGGATTGAAGGATGAAAGGGTGCAGGCAGCCAAAGTTTTCAAATCTAGTGGGGTTAGCGATATCCTTGTTGAACAATCTGTGGATAAGAAGCAATTGATTGACGATGTGAGAAAAGCGCTCTATGCATCAAAAATATGTAGCTATGCCCAGGGAATGAATTTGATAAGGGCAAAGAGTGTTGAAAAGGGATGGGACTTGAAACTAGGGGAGCTTGCCAGGATCTGGAAAGGTGGTTGCATTATCCGTGCTATATTTTTGGATCGTATTAAGCAGGCTTATGACAGAAACCCAGATCTCGCTAACCTGCTTGTGGATGAAGAGTTTGCAAAGGAGGTAGTTGAAAGACAATCCGCCTGGCGAAGAGTGGTCTGCCTTGCTATAAACTCGGGTATTAGCACACCTGGTATGTCTTCAAGTCTTGCTTATTTCGACTCATACAGGAGGGAAAGGCTTCCTGCAAATTTGGTCCAAGCTCAAAGGGATTACTTTGGTGCTCATACTTATGAGAGGACTGATATGCCGGGGGCATTTCATACTGAGTGGTTCAAGATTGCCAAACAGTCGAAGATCTGAGCTTCTTCTGGTTACATTCTTGTCATTGACCTAATTGAATAAAATTCATGTTGTCACTGAATCTGGGAAGAGAGATTCTGTGGTATCACATCTTGTCATCTAGTCTCTCAGGTGTTTGAAATTTTCTTATGTTTGTTGTGGAGCCTATTTCTATTTCTAGTCCTTGGCGGCTTTTCTCTTATATTATGTTTTCCAAGTTACTGAAAACCTTCGTACAAGAAAAGAAAGTATTATCCATTGTTTTGGATAAAGTTCTTAAATCTTTTTCTGTCCTTACTTTTGCTCTATCATGACTTGAATTCTCATTTTCCTTAATTATTTAATGCATCTATCTTCTTCCTTCACTCTACATCGTTCAGGTGTTTTACGCCATATTGTCCGATTCATTTGATATATCTGTGCTAGTATTACTTGAGGATATCTATTAACCTCTGATGTTAAATCAGAATCACAGAAGATCTGGTCCAGTATATTTTTACAGCATTTTGTATATGGGTAATTGACCTTTTGATAAGTTGCTTTATATACGGGGATATCCATCTTTTGCAGCTACGCTGCTAGCGATCCTTTCCTTTTTGGGAAGTTACATTCAAGTTTCCATGTCGTCTTTAATTAGCTAATAGTTGGAAATGTCAGTAGATTTTCGTCACCGGATTTCACTTGGAACTAGGGACCTCGTAATTCAACTAATGATCAGTAGTAAATGGACACACTTGGTCCGGTGTTTTCCAGGAGTCTTCTTATATTGGTTGAAGACTTGTACATAAGTGTGAGATCTAGAGAACCTCTAATGTATCTTTAAAAAACAAGTTGTTTAGTATTGGAATGAAATGGGCCAAAATAGAGCGAAATGACAGAGGATCAATTGGTAGTGAAGTGGACTAATCTTTGATTAAGGCGTAGTTGATTGATCAATTGGTAGTGAAGTGGACATTTACTGTAAATATCAGACATCCGATCTGCTATTACTTACATGGTGCTATTACAAGACACTGAGTACTAGTATTTCACATTTGCTGGATGCAAGAACGTTGCGTATATAATTATCAGATTACATCACCTGGGAAAAAAAATTGATCAGTACAATAGTTCATAGCATATATCTAATCATCCTTTAAATTGGTCTGATCAATTTTTAACCTCTTTACTCTCCCCCCCC